AGAGAGAGAGAGAGAGAGAGAGAGAGAGAGAGAGAGAGAGAGAGAGAGAGAGAGAGAGAGAGAGAGAGAGAGAGAGAGAGAGAGAGAGGAAACTCCCAGCAATTCACATCCTGTCAGCAAAATACATGCACTGGCACCTGTTGTTTCACATCTGAAAGAATCTACCCGACAATCACGGGTGTAAACGAACAATGCAGCTCCTCCGAATCAAAAGGCAGACTGAGGATTCAACCTTAAAACGAAGCCTGGTTGAATCCTCTCCAACTTGACTCTGAAACTTCCTTACCGAAGATCGGAATCCCCCACCCATCAAGATTGGCTATTAGGCTCACCGCATGCATGCAGGCATGGACACAACCAACTGTTTATAGGCTGTTGAACAACAAACTCCTTCGCAAGAATCCCAGTTACCCTTCAGCAGCCAGAGGCAAACAACCTGACCACATAACAACTGACCCAGTACGGGTCGATGCCAACCTGTTGGTGGAAGGGCCATCAAGACAGACAAAATCACTGGTCAATACACAAAAGGAAGAAGAAGTGGGAGTGGACTCGAAAGATGCAAAGGCTTGGATGTTTGGCTACTACTATCAAAAAATCACTACTGCAGAGAGAAGGCCCATTTATCTTACAGACAATCGTGAAGCCGCCAATCTTCAATGTGCTTTGCGGGCCTTTGAAGCATTTTCCCTACAGCTAAAACATATCCACATGCCTTTCGGCATGGAACGTAGTCTGGCGCAATCCAAGTGAAGAGCTGTCGAGCAGTTCTCCGTGCTGCATCTCAGTAACTGTTGCCCTTCTTTCTGACACTGTGTGCACACACCTCCCGCCTCCTCTGTCCTCGCGTCCATACTGTTGGCATCTGCACAAAACAAACACCATCAGGGAGCGACACATCAGTCAGCCAGCAACAACTTCAGTGAAGAGGGCACCGCTGACGCTGTGTTGATAGCATCAAGCACAAGCCTGGCCCTACTCTTCATGATCAAGGGCACTACCCATGAAATGTCCCTCTCCCACCTGATACGCCAAAAGAAGGTTAGACTCAAGGTAGCGCGCTCGTGCAACGCACAATGAGATAACTCAGAAGCAAAATGCTATTCTGCACATAGTAAGAAGAACAAAGGAGGGTACATACAAGGTTAAGGACAGGTGCCTGATCCTGCCCCCAACCACATTATCTCATCAACTGTAATGTTGCACCGCGTTTAACGACTGGTCAATGCTCAGGGACCACAAACAATACAATGGCAGTACCGCCTTAAACCACCACTACCCCCGCCGTCAGAAATTAGGCAGAACCGGTAGCACAGGTCCATGAGGGCTACCGGTAGAGTACAGTGGGGGGAACCGGCGGAGTGGCAAAATTCGAAGATGCGTCGAATTAACCCCGCGATTTATTTTTTTTAATATTTTTCCTGAAAAGATCACGACAAAATCTATGGACCCTCGAATTTTCCAAGTTGTTGAGTCACCCTTCTGATCGCGAAAAATCGCGAAAGTCAGGTTTCTTTTCCCGTTGGCCCATACGTGGTAGAGTAGCAAAAATGGAAAGTGTGACGAAACGGCATGGCATTTACTTCCACGGTCTAAATATTTTTTCTTTTTCATTTTTTTGATGTTTTTCCTGGAAAGATCACGGCCTAATCTACAGGATATCAAATTTTCATATCGTTTTGCCAATTTTTCTGAGCGTGAAAAATCGCCAAAGTTCACGCTTGAAAATTCTTGGCCCGGGCCTGTGCTTGCCGGTCGCCGACCCCCCTAAGAACCCGGTCCGTAAGGCCAGGAAAGTCCATTTTGGTGGTTTAAGCAAAGGCAGGCACCAATATATACCTTCACCAGAATGCTTCATATCTCGTTCGCCCTCCACGGTGCCCCATGTGTTCTCTACCCAATGCATGAGATGGTCCAGCCAGCAAGAAAGTCAATCACACTGCCCATGGTTGACTGCCGACACCATTCCAAAATGATCTGACCCGCCAGCCAGAATGGCACGTATATACAAACCCACTCTAGTACCAAATTGCAGCGAACTGTTCATTGCGTTCAATGAGAATGAATCCAAAATGCAAAAGTGGATATAAGAACAAGCATGATTGAGCCAAGTTGGAAGCAGAAGAAGACGAAGAATAAAAATATGGCTATGGCTTACCTTTCCCCACGCGGGCTGGATGCGAAGGTGCACGGGCGAAGGCATGTGGGTTGGAGGGCGCACAAGGTATCGAAGGCTGCTGCATCGTGGTGACAAAGGGGGAGGACACGCAAGGTGTCGAGGGCTGCTGTGCAAAGTGATGGGCAGTGCTGGGCGGTGGCTCGGGGCAGCGGGGTGTAGTCAGGCCGCTTGGGAAATTCTGCAAAGGTCAGTTTCCCGCCCACAACTATTCAAAAGGGGGGGCAATTCAGGCTGCTGATCTCTCGAGATCGGCGGTCCACATCGCCCGCTCTTTCGAGTCACTGCGGGCCAACTGGACCCCTTTAATTTTTTTTTAGGTTCGCTGACCTCCTAGAGCCTCGTCCTGGACGCTCGCAGCGTTTGAACCGTGGAAAACCCTCCCAGCGAAAATGTGCTGGAGCCTACTGGGGATGAACCGGGCCGGTCGACCGGCTGGTTCTACCGGCCCAGTTCCAGTTGGAGGAGGACTCCCCGGTCGGACCGGAAGTGCAGCCTAGTTTTGAACCCAATTTCCACATTCCAAGTGCACACACACAAAAGCAAACAAAGTGAGGGCCATGCAGCCCTCCTTCCTTGGGGAAGTAGACCCTCCCTACACCCCGGTCGGACCGGAAGTTCAGCCTAGTTTTGAACCCACTTTCCACATTCCAAGTGCACACACACAAAAGCAAACAAAGTGAGGGCCATCCAGCCCTCCTTCCTTGGGGAAGTAGACCCTCCCTATTTTTCCTTTCAGATGTCGTGCTCCCAATACACCACATCTGGAATGCAAGAAAGGTTGCGGAGGATCCTTTTGTGCCATGCACTTTGTGGTCTGCAGTCACGCACAACAAATCAAATTTCAGAAATCCCTCTCATCAAGGCGTATGCACCACTTTGAAATTGTGTGGCATGTGTCATGGGCCCATCACATGAAACCTAACTGGCCAGCATGGCAAGCTGCAACAATGCCAACAACTCCATTTTTTAAGTTTAGTTTACAATAACAAATGGAATTATAACAATTGATGATCGATACATGTCCTCTTCTTCCTCTCCGCCTACGGTTTACCAGCCAGCTCTGTTTGACGATATATGTTCGCCGATATATATACTTTATATATATATATATATTTTATATATATATATAACAATTGATGATGAACTGGTGTGTTAGAGCATCTATTTTTTAAGGTAAGAGGACAAGAGGATGGTAGACATGCTGCAGCCACAACTGACCTTGCTTTTCCTCTGCTCCATTACTCCTACTCTTCATCGAGCCGCTTCTTTCTGAAGGCAGTTCATTTGGCTGACCTTCAGATCCTCGTCCTCTCTTACTTCCGCTTGCCCGCTCATCTGTTGCTTCCGAGCGCTCCATTTTGCGCTTCCCCCTCCTCCTAGGAGGCAAGTCATCAGCAACCTCCCCTGTTCCCGCAGACGCATTCACCTTCCCTCCCTCACACCCCTGCATCATAATCCCATTCCTCTTCATACCTGGTTCCTCCTCAGAGCTGCTGTCATCGCTTTCACTTGAACTGTCATTCGCAGTTTGTTGCGATTTGCCTGATCTGTTTCCTCTGCCAGCCCTCCTCCCTGAAGTACTATCATTCCTCTGTGAATGAGCCTTTTTACTAGATGTGACCCCCTTAGGCCTTCCACGCCTTCTTGCTACACCGTTGCCGGATGGCCCTTGCCCTTGGCGCCCTTGGCAAGAGAAGCAGAACCACCTACCCCTGGGAACTTGTCGCAAACGTGCGCAACCTTTGTGAATCGCATACGTGCAGCCGTCTCCGTCACAGCATATCAATTTTCCCTTCCTATGGCATTTGGAGCAAACTTCAGGCCAGCGGTCGACACTGACAGCTGGTTTTGCAGATTTTGGCTTCCTGCCTCTCCTCACCCCTCCAGCCTGCAATCATTACACGCCATGCCAAATACCCAACAACATATTCACCAACAATGTTAATGTCATGTTAAAAAAACAAAAACACAATGTTAAACCACCAGTACTTCCTAGAGTCCTGCCCGTTAACGCGCCACGGATTTAGGAAACGTACGAGCTACTACAGGAGCGCCCAAATTCATTCGACTAGAAACATTTCTACTCTTTTTTTTCCGCGGCCAATAGCTGGGCCAAGTACTGGTGGTTTAATATCGACTGTTGACATGGCCCATCTTACGGTACGTCACTTGGATTCATTCATGGGGTCCGGGGACAATTTTGGGACAATTTGGACAAATTGCACTCCTTCCTATTTTATTATTATTTTATTTATTTTTGGCCCGTCCGGGCAATTGGTCCCGGGCCATTCTGGTAGCCTGGCTTCTTACACGCTGGGCACACACGAAGCACATCTTAGATGTAAACTTGAAGATATTCTCTCCCAAGCAACTCAATTAAACAAACTTGACTTTGTACAAGCTGGGCGGCTATGGTCGCCAGCCAGCCTCTCTCAGAGGCTCTTGTTGACCCTTTTGGGTGAGTAGCATTCTTAGCTCAGCTGGAGAAAGCAACAACCGGCTAAGTTGAAGGGCACAGGTTCAAATCCCGTAGGATGATGAGCTCTTAGAGAGAGTGGCCGAGTGCCTAAAAGTGACAGACTTAATCTGCTGAAACTTATATCCCTACAAAGGTCCGAATTCTGCATCTCCCACTTCGTCGCCTTCGTACGCTATGGTCCGTCTCTCTCTCTCTCTCTCTCTCTCTCTCTCTCTCTCTCTCTCTCTCTCTCTCTCTCTACTCTCGGCCTCACATTCCCTCTGAATACCTCTCGAAACTACTCTTTAACTCTCACTTAAACCACCAGTACTTGGGCACTGCGCGCCGCGCCGGCCGCCCAAATCTCGAAGCAGCGTGGGCTGTCGATTTGATTTATCGACGGCCCGCCGGCCGCGGAAATCACGTAGCGTTAACGCTAAGGCATCGCCCAAGTACTGGTGGTTTAACCTAACTCTCACTTAACCTGTGGCAAGCACTCGGCAAGTCATCCCGTGACATGCATGTTTTCTAGTAGGGTACCTGCAGGCCCTGTGGTATGTCCAATACCATACCCAGCACCAAGCCTTAAAAACCAAGAATGCAGCACAGTGTTAATCACGCAAAAAAAGAAACAACAATGACGGCAAGTAGAATCATTTTGCCAGGTCCACGCTGGGAGCATGGTGGAAGCCCACCTATAAGGCTCACATTCCATGCTTCCATAGGAAGCTGAAATTCAGCACACATCAACACTTTAGCTAGACAAAAACTCCGTGATATTATATATACAAGTTCCGACTCACTTTTTACACTGGTTACAGAGGTAAAATGCAATCAGAGAACATGTTCGAGAGTCCTTTTGCAAGTTATGCAGCAGACACTATGCCCCTTACAGGAAGTCTCTTTCTTTTCGGGACCTGCAAACAATGCTTACATTCCTTTTAGCCTTATAGAGTAAATATAAAGTCAGACTCCACAATGAAGTCCATCCCACATAGAGATTGTATTGTTAGAGAAGGTACAGTTCCAACATCAGTCTTTTTTTTTTTTTTTAATAACAATGGTTACTAAGCTATATTCTTCTCTCAATTTCACCTTTCGCTATGTAGCTACCACTACTCCTAAAGAGTCCTAAGCCTATACAGGGGACCCCTTGATCAGAGGCTGCTAACCAACGTCAGTTTTGATAACAGATATATCAGCTTTTTCTCTGACATTCAGGGAGCTCTCTTTTTCTGATCAAAATGACAATGCGCCGAATGCGGACAAGATATGTCTCTTGGAAACTCTTCATGACCCAATGGTCAATGTAACAATAATGGCAGTTGTTGATACAGCTAATTGTTTACTTGGATCATCATACACATGCTTCGGAAAATAACTCGACTAGTACATTGACTGCTCGCTGGACAAAGAATCACTCACCGTCGCATCTGCCCTGGACTTTCTCTTCACTCCTCGCCTGTCCTGCTGTTCGGACTTATGACTCGATTCCTCACCATCACCACTGCTACTGTCAGAATCACTTGTACTCTCTGAGCTGCTGGTAGTCTCATCCTCTTCTTCATCCTTGCTGGACGAATCCTCTTCCTCACTATGATCCTTGTCAACCTCTTCACTCGCATCCTCCTCCTCTTCTCGGTCGTCCTCCTCCTCTTCCTCCTCCTCCTCTTCCTCCTCTTCTGCACTACTGTCCTCGCCGGAGGTCTCGTTCCTATTGTGACGTGATTCCACTTGATTGAGGTAGGCTGATGCCGAGCGTTTTCCCCTAGCAGCTCGTTTCCCGGAGTTCTTGACCTCAAAGACCTGCAGTGCTCTCTCACTTGGTGACACAAGGCAAACATTACAGTAGCCAGACAACGACGCCATCAAAGGAGAGAGCAATCAGAGTCATGCAACTGCTGCACGCAAACCATATGCACACAGTTTCTGCTTGGCTTCAAAGTTCTACATTCATCTGCAGGGCTTGGAAGTCGTTGCAAATGTTTTACAATGTGCAGCGCCTAATTCCCGAAGTGAAAACCCCAGCTTAAAGCCTTAAACCCAACCGAGAGATATATACTGTCACATATCTACGCGCTACAAAAGCACACTTTGCGAAACAAACGGTAAAAAAACAAAAAAACAAGACCAACATGAGGGGCACACTGCAACCATTCATGTTTCTCATTCTTATGCTAACTCCCCCTTCACCGTGGCTTCTCTAGAAGCAGAACCTAAGGGCAGAGACAGATGGCTGCTTCTCTCAACCATCTGACAGTCCTCAACTTCAAAAGAATGCTCTCTCTCTCTCTCTCTCTCTCTCTCTCTCTCTCTCTCTCTCTCTCTCTCTCTCTCTCTCTCTCTCTCTCTCTCTCTCTTTTTTTTCCTAAAAGGGTGACAGCCTTGGAATACCTTCATTGTTTGGACCGGCCCTAGGTAATTCAGAATAATTCATTCAATTCATCAAAGTCCAACAGGATTCAGACTCAGGACTGTACTTCAACAGTTACGGGTGTACCAACTGAGCTAGGCTCGTTGGAGCTGGCGTTGGCAGACTGGAATATGCAACTTTTTCCTCTTTTTATCTATGATGCCATCGTTTTCCTCTACGATTCTTTCCTCCGCCCTCTCCCCACCTTCCTTCCCCTCCCCCCCACCCCAATCCACGTTTCTTACTTTGCAGGTCCAGTCAGACTTCTGCTTTGACTGATGGCAGACACATGGAGTGATAATGCAGATGACCTATGCAGCCACTGTGCATCCAGTTCAGCCTGATTAGACTGATGTTAAAGGTTTTCCTTACCAGAGGGATTGGGACGCATACACCAAGCATGATAGTGTTGCAGCAGACTCCACTTCCCGCTGCCAGGCTTTCCGAATCGCTGGCATGTGCCACAGCCTGGAGTCCCTGGAAGACTGACGTGATCACAATACATGATACCGAGAAGAGTCAGGTGAATAGGTATGCCTGGTCTAGCACAACAAAGAAAGAAACGACAAGAAATGGAGGTGAAAGATAGAGAAAGAGGCAAAAATGTACCACAGTGTGGATGAGTGAGGGAGAGACTGGTTGGGTCTTCCTTGCAATTCCACTATCTTCAGCATTCCACCACAGAGTGAGTGAGGGACGGAGAGGCTGGTTGAATCTTTCTTACAATCCACCAAAGAAAGAAACGGCAAGAAAGCGAGGTGAAAGATAGAGAAAGAGGCAAAAATGTACCGCAGTGTGGATGAGTGAGGGAGAGACTGGTTGGGTCTTCCTTGTGATCCCACTATCTTCAGCACTCCACCACAGAGTGAGTGAGGGAGGGAGAGGCTGGTTGGATCTTTCTTACAATCCCTCTATCTCCAGCACCCCTCATCCTTTGCTTCAGTCCCATAGAAGGACCCTAAACCATTCTTAGTCCACTGTGCATCCAGTTTCTCCACATATTGGTCGCTAGCCTTCCATGCTTTGTCCATTCAAGCTTCACAGGAGTAACAAAAGCCAATGAATTGGAATCCCCGAGTCATACTGTGAGTACAATTCGCCCTTGTTGCCTTCCAGATTTACATGTCTACCTTCCCATGCCTCCGTTCCCTTGAACACGGAGAACCCAAGTGTTCGTCGACATAGGAGGCCTACCTCTTCTCCATCTGTCAGCTCTTCCTCATCCTCCAGCTCGCTGACGGTTGGCTGGTTGACCTCTGGCTCTGGACCATCTGTCTCAGAGGCACCCTGCAAAACCAACCCCATATATCAATAGGCAGCACGATGATTACACAAGTGACTTCTGCCAGATTTCCTCAAATTTGTCAGAGTAGAAAAGAGTGCAACTGCGCCAGTTCATGTATGCATCTTAAGGCTCTGGAAAAACTGACAAGCTGACATCTGCCCTGGATAATCATTTAAAAAGTGCACAGCTTGAAGGATATCTTCCATGAGCAAAATCGAGGATCGCTCTTACTACCAATGGGCCTAGCTCAGTTGGTACACCCATGAACTGTTGAAATACAGACCCAAGTTCGAATCCAGATACAATCAGATCACCAAGAATAAAATCATTCTGAAGTACTTGGGGCCGGTCAATTTAATGATGATATCTCAAGGCCGTCGCCTTTAAATAAAAAAAAATTAAAAAAAAAAAGGATCGCTCTTACTTCCAAGGCTTGTGACGACTGCTACCTTCTCAAAAATCAGGCCAACCAAAGCAGACAGTGAAAACAGAAAAACCTGAGGCCATCACATTATCAGCCCAGTTCACCAACCGACAAAGAGTGGGCCTCCCAATAAAGTCATAAAGGAATTGGCGGTCTAGAGGGAAGCACATGGGTGGACTGGGTGTATTCCATGGTTACGCCTGATGACTGGATGTACTCGATGAAGCGAACATGCTGGCCGGGAAGCTTAATTGGCCAGCAAAACATCACACGGGAGGTAGGGCTTGCCCCAGCTGGTAATCTTTGGAGGCCAGTTCAACTGTTTTTGGTTGGCCCCTTCAACAGGCCGCTTCAACTTTTCGGGCAGCAGAGCCGCAGCTCCCAAAACACAATGCAGGGCACAGAGAATTAAGTTTGCATCACTTCTTATATTTGTTTTTGAACTTTTTGTGTTTTGCATTGATTGACTTTTCGCACCAGTTTGGCAGTCAAGGGCCCAGAAGGATGAGGGATCCCCAAAATTTCACATCAGCCGTCAATTTGGGCGCTGTCCTTGCAGAGGAATGGCCTAGATGGGTCCCCAGTGACGTTTAGGAAGTTCGATAGTATTGTAGATCAGGAGGAAGACGAGAGAGATATTGCAGGTCAAGTACATAACTTCCACAATGTTTCAGTTCTGCAGGACTGAAAGATGAAGAAAACAAAGGAAGCATGGCGAGGTTCACATACAGCCTTATGCAAATGAATTTTAATGAAGTGATGCGGGGACAGACGGCAGTGCCAAAAGTCAGAGAAGTTATGGAAAATAGTTGCCACACTACAGATTTAACAGCACACAAACTGGACCCACATGAGAAAGAGTATGGTTGCTGCTGAGCACTGCCTACCACCTTCAAACAATATTGTACTGTGTGCAGGGATGAATTCACTTACGCAAGGAAAACACACGGACTGTACCCAGTCTCCACTTGAACTCACGTCTTCATGGCATGGTTGAAAATTGAAATGATAAAATAGGTTGGGAATGCATACAAAGCAAGTAGCAAAAAATAGAAGGACAAACGGCAGACGAAGAGAGGGGACAAGGGCATGTGTATTGGGTGGCTGCGATCTGGTGCTCATCCAATTTATGAAATACGAGGAAGATTTTCTGTACTTACTGCATTGACATGATTCTCCTCTTCTTCTACATGTCCATTGCTGGCATGAGCTGAACTTCCACCCATTTCAACGACGATCTACACAACCGAGTGAAGGGTAACCCATAATCAGCAACCTCAAATCACATGCACTGCGTGCAACTGGAAAGGAGCCATCAAGAACGGAGACCAACAAAACCGAGGTGACGGGAACAAACACATTCTGGGACGGGGTTCATGAAGGACACCATAACAACTTGGCTGACTGGTAAATGAAAGATACCAACCATGCGGGCTAACAGAAGACAATTTCTTTGCTAACAATTTGACAAGAGTCATTTCAATAGAGGCGCCACTCCGTCCTCTAGTTGTTCTATTCAATTAAACGACTTTGCCCTCAGCAGCGCCCTGCACCTTGCCTCTCAGCGCCAGCAGCAGCCCACGAGCGTCCGCTCCAGCAGCGCTGCCGCCAGCATGCAAGTGCTGAATGCCCATCCAGGCAGCGAGCTCTTTCCTATATGGAAAGAGCCTGCCTGCCTTCGCAGCCTGGCTGGCCTGGGCCTGGGCCCAGAAGCTTCCGGTGGGCCCCAGGATGCTGCGCCTCTGGTGCAGCTACTGGGCCTCATTCGGTTGGGCCTCCCAACTGTCTGTGTATGAGGCTGTGAATCTCGCCCAGGGCCTGCGCTTTCGGAAAAGCCTAGAAGGCCTGGGAATTTCCTCTCTGCTCGGCCTCTGTTTCCTTCGACCAACTGGCATGACGAAACTCCCTGGACCCGAAATACGAAATTGACAGCCGAGGGCTTCTTGTGATTTGTTAGGCCCGCCTTCACTCAGGGCGGGTGCAGCTGCAGCAGGGGCCCCTTAGGCATGCCGAGGACCCAGTCCTCTGAGAAGTTCTTATGGAACAGGCTGCTTCCCTTTCAGATTTCTCTCATAACTTGAGATAATTTGGGGAGCAGTCTTCATTAATCCCTCTCTTGTGAACCACCAGTCTTCTTGAGGATCAATGTGATGTCTGAACCGCACTCGGTATTGCATCTGTGGCTTTGGCAGTCGACCCCTTCCTGGAGGTTTGGGTACAGGCATCAGCTTGTGCTCGACGATATAGTCAATGTCCACGTGTCCATCCATGGTTGGGGGCAGCATTGATCTTCTAGAGGGAAACTGATCAGTGACAGCGAAAGGTGCCAACTTGGATGCATGGAAAACAGTAAGTGTGTGGGAATGCGAATCACGTACGACGGTCCATCTGGTTGATCCCCTACAGTATCTAAGATTTCCCAGGGCCCAAAGTATTGTGGCATTAGTTTGCGTGAAATCCCCAACTCTTGACCTAGTTCGGATGATTTTACCCAGACTCGTTCACCTACCTGAAAGTTAGACTGTCGTCTGTACCTGTTCTCAGATGCAATCATGGCATCTGAGCTTTCTTAATGTGCTCTACAGCCTGTTGTAGCATCTGTTCATATTTGACAGCGAACTCTAGGCTGCCAGGTGATACATTTTGCTGCTGCTCAGGTAATAGAAAGTCCAGGCCTTATCTGGGCTTCCAACCGAGATGTAATTGGTTGGGGGTCATACCAGTAGTGCTATGCACAACGTTATTGTACAGGCTGGCGACGAGCGACAACTTCTCGTCCCAGTCATCCTGACTTGGCTTGATGTAATGTCGAAGCAGGTGCTGTACTACACGGTTCAGCTATTCAGCCTGGCCGTTTGACTCAGGGTGGTTCCTAGATGTCATTTGGAGTCGGGTGCCCATCTGTTGGGCTGTGCTTTGCCACAGTTCGCTGGTGAATCTCACATCCTATAGACGCAGGTAGACCAAAGTCACGTATTCAGTTATCCATAAAGAGCTTGATGGTGTGGTCAGTTCTGGCTGTCTCAGGCATAGCAATTAGTCTTGCATATTTAGTAAATCTATCCACAATGACAAATATATGCCATTTTCCACTCTTGCTGGTCACGAGAGTATCCATGAAATCCATGGACACACTCTGCCCAGGTCCAGCAGGGATAGGCAGGGGTTTAATCAATCCCAAAGGTGCTTGTGTCCTTGGTTTGTCACGTTGATAAACTTGGCAGGTCTCTACATATCTCTTTGCATCCTGCATCATTGTGGGCCACCAAAACTTCTGCACTAAGTTAACTGATGTCTTTCTATAGCCAAAATCACCAGTTGCATCATGACATTCCCCTAAAAAAAAACTTCCCAAAGACTCACTATTAGGAACACACAGCCTTTTATTCCCTGCCTTTTTCAAGAAACAGCAAGCCATCTACCATCGTAAATTCGTCAGAAGTTACTTTATCCTTCTCTTTGAACTTACGGATGATCTCAGACATAACTGAATCTTGCTGATAGGCTTCCACCAAAGATCGAGTTAGATCGTTAGATATGCCAAATACAGTCACTAGCGCCCCAGGTAATCTGCGCGGTGTGATAGTGCATCAGCTACTTTGTTGTACTCTCTCTTGATTGGATCAAGTTGATAGTCATACATGTCTATCACTTGAATCCATTGCTTGAGTGCGTCAGAGAGTACAGGCTGTGTCTTGATCCAGCGCAAGGTCTCATGGTCAGATCTCAAGTAGAAGAACCTACCTAAGAGGTAGTGTCTCCAATGGACCAGCGCTCCGTGGAGGGCATAGAGCTCACGCTCATATGTGGACTTGGCTAGCTTTTGTGACGGCATCTTCTTACTCATATACTCGATAGGTCTCAACTTTGGCCCCTCCTTTTGTGCAAGGACCGCGCCTATGCCATATTGGCTGGCGTCTGTGGTCACGAGAAATGGCTTATCTGGATCCGGAAGTTTAAGAACTTCGTAGTGTGTCAAAGCATACTTCAGTTTCCTAAGCTTGCTTCACACTCTTCAGTCCACTCCCAAGGGGTGTCAAGTCGAGTTGGATCAGTTAATGGGGAAGCTATAGTATTATAGTTTTTAACAAATGGACGATAATAGCCCGTCATCCCCAAAAACGATCGGACCTCAGTAACAGTCTGAGGTCTGGGCCAGTCCCGTATGCTGGCCACTTTGGCATCGTCCGATCTCAACCCGTCTGCGGAGATTTCATGACCCAAGTACACGATCTTGGTGCGACCGAACTCGCATTTCTCTAAGTTTACCGTGTACTCATGCTGTCTTAGGAGACCTAGCACTACTTTTAAGTGCTCAGCGTGCTCCTCTACAGTCCTACTAAAGATAAGAATATCGTTGAGGTACACACAATAAACTTGTCTAAGTACTCATGAAAAATCTTGTTCATTGCGTGCTGGAAAGCTCCAGGTGCATTGCATAGGCCAAAGGGCATCACCACAAACTCGTACAGACCGTACCTGGTCTGAAAGGTGGTTTTGTGTTGGTCCTCTGGTCTAATGGCAATTTGATGGTATCCGGACTTCAAATCTATCTTTGTGAAGTACCGACATCCCTGCACTCTGTCCAGTAGGTCGTCGATGCGAGGTAGGGGCTCTGCATTCGTAACGGTGATGGCATTGAGGCCCCTATAATCTATGCACATCCTCAGTCTACCTCCCTTCTTAAGACTGGCGCACCGTAAGGGGAGATACTAGGCCGAATTCATTCCTTTTCTCTGAGCTCCTTGAGCTGGCGGTGGAGCTCATCCAACTCCGCAGGAGACATCCTATAGATTTGTCATCTAGGCACCTTACTACCTGCGACAACCTCTATCCCATGACAACCTCCCTTTCCACCACGCCTGTGGGCTCCTCAAAAAGGTCGGAATATTGCGCGACGACTGATTCTATCTCTGGGGTGTTTTTACGGCCTCCTCTTTCTCAGAGACAAAAACTCGATACATGCCCTCCTCGTGATTCTGCTTATAGTAGTTATAGAAAAAGGAGGCACACATGCAGCCGCAGTTTTCCACTAGACTGCTAGCTTTGAACTTTTGCAGTCTAACGGTCCTACCGTTGGGCAGCTTTTATCAACACCTTCCTATCCCAATCAAACTGAGGTTGAGCGACCTCGAGGTAGTACATGCGTAGTAACATATCAAAGGGCAGTTCGTCGCTAACGAGGAATGAGATTTTGTGTCTCACTTCCCTTCCTCCATAAGAGAAGGAACAGACTATGTCCTTGGCATAGTCTTTTACTACCATTTGGTGCTTGTTGGCTAGCGTAGAAGCTACAGTTTTGCTAAGTCGCTGCACTTGGTCCCCTAAGTGCAGTCTGTCCACACAAACACGGCTGATGAAATTCCGTGTAGAGCCTACGTTTGCGAAGGCACCCACTTTACTGCCACCTACATTAACCTCTACCACGAATTGCTCACCGTTAGGACCTCTACTAATCATCGCCCAAGAGTCTCTGGGGTCCTTCCCTGACCACTCAGACTATAACTCTTCTAAGGACTTAGACACATTTCTCGAACAGAGCGTCGGTGGGTTTGAATGTGTCCGCGGGGCAATGTTTGGGTCACTAGCCTTGGCCAACGCCTGAAGTGGGGAAGGCAATGTTACCACTTCAACGCGAGTAAGAGCGGCTAACTTGGTCGCCCTGACCCGTAGACCGGCCTACCTTTGATAGGAGCCACAACTCCCCCATCGGAAGTCTCGCTGGCCCCATCATGCTCTGTCTCGTCCCCATAGTTTGGGAAGTCGTCAATTTCCGTCGCCTGACCATCATGGTCGACGAACATAAGTTGACCTTTCTTTTTCTAGTTCTGGGGAAGTATCTTCTTCCTACCATCTCCCTGACTCTGATGCGCGGACCCAAGCTTTGCCTCTATATCTAAGGCTTTCTTGCTAAAAGAACCGAAGTTATGTTGGTCGACGTAGGCCTTATCCACCAGCTTAGTCCTAACCTCTGAAGGCAGACATCTCAAGTAATCTGTGAGGAGCACTAGCTGGTCGTAGCGCACACCAGGTACCAAGAGTAGACGTTCTACGGTGTCTATGATCTCACGAACATTCTTGTAGCTTTTGGCACGAAGATTGTTAATCGCGTCGGTGGCCTTCTGTGCCCCTTGAGGGTCATGCCACCTATTATACACAAACCGTACGAAGTCTTCCAATGTATGGGCCTGAGCCCAGGCATCGAAATTTTGATTGTAGCCCTGTTGTTGTACTGACC